TGTATATATATATATATATATATATATATACACACATATGTATATGTATATATGTATGTGTGTATATATTGTTAGCCTAAATAATTAATTGAAAATAAATATAATTTTTGCATTGGTTCATGCACATGGGTCAGAACTAAAATAAAAGAAGAAAGGGTACAAAATTTGATAACATAATCATTTATTAAACGTTTTTTAGCGCAGTTTTTTTTTTTTTAACATCCTTCTTTTGGAAAAGATATGTGCAGCTGCAGAAGCAGTTTTAACAAACAAAAACATTTGGGTCAAGAAGTGAGAGCATAGTTGGACTGAATGATAAACGCACGAACAGGAAGTGGTTTAGTCCCAGCTGTCTTTGGAGGAAGGGTGTACAGTAATGCAGAACAGCCAGTATTCAGAGCCCTCAAACAATATTTGGAAAATCAAATCACCAAACCGAACACCGCAGCAGTTTGTTCGCCTTGTTATGGGCTACACTGGGTTTTATCAGGATGATTTATTCTTGGTTATCTGTACTGTCTGCAGAGTCATCCCTTTTTATCTCCAGAAACATAACATTGTTTTTCTAATTTGCTGCCACATCTTTTCCATGTTATTCAACCTTTTTCTGCATCAGCATTGGTAGCAAAAAAAAGATTCAGCACAGGAGGTATTTGTTTGGCACTTTGACTTCGAGCGGTTTTATTTTCCAACTGCTCATAAACCGCATAAAGTCTACATCATCTGAAAGATTTGTTTAGAGGGTGCTCTAGTCTCTCCTCTCAGTCCAGATTCACAGTTTTTGGGAAGTGGTGAGCACTAGGTTAAGAAATATACCATGAGACAGAAGAGTTCCTCTTTAGTTATAAACCTTTAGTTTATGCAAGTCATTATTTTAAGCCATATGGTTTTTGCAGGAAGTTCAATCATGGGAATCAAAACTACAGCTGGAGCCATTCTGTCTGTGGTTGTTTTGTGTCAATCGCTGGATTTGATGTAATCGGTGTCTCTGACCTACAGGACTTCCGTGAAGCAGTGCAAAAAGCATCTCAGCAGAACGGCAAGCCTGTGATTGAGGAGCGTATCCTCAATCAGATCCTGTACTCCCTCCCTCAGCTATACGAACTCAACCAAGACCTGCTTAAAGAGCTGGAGCAGAAAGTTGCTCACTGGTATATCATCGTTTCAAATATTTGTACAAACATGTTTAATGTTGGTCGCATTAAACCAATCCAAGGAACTAAAGTCCACCAAATGCCAGGATTTACAGCATAGGATTTTCATATAATGGAAAAACGATTTAGAAATAAGTAAAAATGTCTTAAATTATGTGTATTTACCGTTAATTTGAGTCGGTAAATGAGATAGTTTGCCAATGGAATGAGTATTTTTACTCTTAGAATAAGATAATCTGATAATATGCACTTGAAATAAGACAATGCAATCGTGTTTTCTTATTTTAAGTGTAAATTGTCTTGTTCCATTGGCAAAATGTCTCTTTTACCTCCTCATCCAAGAACAAATGCACTTATTTTAAGAAAAATGACGTTTTTTTTGCA